CCCCAAAACCCCAAAACCCCAAAACCCCAAGGGCCATTCTATTTCTCGATAAAGGTAATTATTAAATTAAGATTAATTAGTAAAATCTAAAATTATTAATTTTAATATATTTTTCAATCTTCGTTGCATTTAGAAATTTTCATTCAAATTTTTCAATCATCTTTCTAATCTAAAATTGAGCTTCCAATATCATCTGCGAAGCCTCTCCATCCTTTTTATCGCTTGCTCTGTATAATGCTTGCTAATATCGATATTATTATTATTTAAATCTTACTGTTGCTTTGTTGAAATTCTAATGAGCTAATTGATAATTTCCAAGTTCTTAATGAATTCTTCCTATTTGCATTAGAACCTTAGCTGAATCCTTAGTATCTTTTATGATGCTTTTGTGGTTCTGTAGTACCTGAAGCGCATATTCATAATACTTCAAGGACTCGTGATAATTTTCTCTGATATATTCACATGATGCTATGTTAATCAAGATCTTAGATGAATCATATTACTCCAAATATGAATTCTTATACTTATTCTTTAAGCACAATCTATTGGCATTAACTATTAAGAGGTATTAAAATTACAGTGCTTTTTTGTAAAATTCCAATGCGAACTGAGAATTATTATGATTTCTAAGAGTATTTCCAAGCTCATTTAAGAGTTTGAATGATATCGAATCATCATGCTAAATAATATTACTAAATGCTATTATACTTACTTCTTTCGCTCTTTAATCTATCTCGTGAATAACACTCTATGCCTAAGTAATCTGGTTTACTTTGAGATACAAGTTCAAAAGCCTAAGTATAATCTTATTTATACTTTAAGTTAATTCAGCTGAAATCATCATGGTTGGAATCTTATTTTTCTCTAGTCGTTTCATGATCAAGGCTGCATGCTCTAATTTTTTAATGCACTCAGAATATCTAGGAATAATTAATAAGATAATCTTAGTTCTTACTTATCATCAGCTTCAAAAGCTTAAGAGAGTTAGACTAAAATCTAGGCGGTTTCAATATCATTCTCCCCATTAAGATTTTTGGAAGTTTCATAAGCTTTTTCAAAATATTAGCATGCTCTTTCGTAATCTCCAGCATGTTCATAGGATAATGCACATTAAACCTGAGAATTAAGCACTTCATTATGATACTGAGGGAGTACATTAAGCTTTAAAGTCAAGGATTTCTCGCTCATCTTTATACAATCATTTACATATCCCTTTTGATCTGATATTAATGCAATGTTTTAACAAATTTTTGATATTATCAGCTCATTTACCTGAGATTTATCCTCAAGTTTACTAATCAATAGCATGCTAGCTTCAAAATTTTCTAATGCTTTCGACGAATTATTGGTTTTAAGATAGCAATTGCCTAGTTAATTGCAAATATTTATGTAAATTAGAGGCTTATCAAATACAATTTCTTTATCTATTTCACTTTTTACCCATTCAAATTTTTCAACAGCATCAAATATTTTACCCAACTGCATTAAACACTCTGCTTCACAAGATCTAACCTCGATAAAGTCATCAATGCCAAATTCATTTTTTACATGATAAGACTCATCCTCAAGATTAATTGAGTATTGATTTGATCTCCATCTCTCATATAATCTTGATATATCTGAGAGGACTAAAACTGCTTTGCTAAATCTTCCTTCGACAACTAATATTTTACTATAAATTTTCATAATATTTAGAACATAATTTCCAACTTCCTTTTTTAGTCTGTGTTTCTTTTACAAATTCTCCAGCATAGTTTTCAGATTAATGTTTGATTTGGTATCCTATTCTAGATATTTAATAATTCTTCCATTTTCTCCAAAAATATGATAGAAATAAACTAGCAAATAACTGTTGAATATTCTGAGGAAGTTAAAAGTTTAATCCTAGGCAGAATATATTTGCCTAAGAAGCTTTTCAACTGATAAGAGATTAGCTAAGACAGATGTAAAGAACTTATCATCAGCTAGAGTTTTATTTTTTTCTATTAATTATATTTTTAAGCAGCATTATTTCTGAATATGCTAAATCCTATCCTTAACATTATTAAATTTGTTTGAGAAAATCTTAGTTGAAGTTTCTTCAGGCTTATAGTTTTATAGGAATCTCTCTTATAAAACCTAGTCATATGTGTTATTTGTACCCCCAAGATCTACTCCTGTATATGCGAGATTACCAGTTGTCGCAAGATAAGGTGATTTCGTCTTTGATTTTGAACTTCCTCTAATTTGGAGATTTTCTTTTAAAGATTAATAGCTCGCTCCTCCTTCAACGCTTTATCCAAGCTTAGAGGACTGTCTGCTTCTTTGCTATTGCCTTACATTATTGACCATATTGAAAACCATTCTTCTACAGTCACTTGTTTAATTAGAACTTCCCAGGTTCTTTTTGCTTTGAAGGATGGAATCATTTATTGATTGGACGTAAATTGAATCCTAGAGTCCATACTTAGCATCAGTATTAAGTTTACTCTCAGTATTTTTACTGGCACTTTGTAGATTCATTTGATCTAATTAACCTTTCTGCTACGTCCAATTTTTGTGAAAGTATGGCTCATCAGTAATTTTCTATCTGTTACCTTATTTCAAGGTAGATGTCTAGAATATTGATGATTTTGAGGAACTGTTTTTATTAAAGTTTTTCTTTAAACCTGCATACTTGTTGGCACTGTGACTCCTATATTTATTAGAAGACTCCTAGCCTTCTTCAAGTACTTGATCAAAATCCTACCTCGTAAAGTATTAAAATTTGTCATCTGATTCTTGAAAATGCACCGAGAGTCTTTCACCTGACCTACTTTTCTCTTAAGATCTCATTCTGAGATGCTAATACTGATGTTGATTTTGATTCATTTAATGACTTGAGCTCTAATTTAGATTGAGTTTTAGCTAATTCTCAAATTACTTTATGCTCTCAAGATGCTTGTATCGTGTAGGTTAATTTTAAAGAGTTTACCTTGTGTTAGTGCTAGCATTAGTTTGTGTATTTGAATTCAGATCATTGAAAATATCAAATGATTCTGGCTTATTGATTATTTTGTTGGGACTATAAATGTTTTGAGCATTCGATTCTGCTACTGAACTTTAAGTCCCTCCGTAATTATTGAATCTGGAAGTGGTTTTATTGAATTGTTCAGATTGTGGTCCAAGACTACTTATTAAGTTTTAGTTTATAAATCCTTAAGTATTATTTCTAATAACTTGCTACCCAGTTTAGAACTATGTATTATTCTGTTAGCTTAGATATTCATCTAGATTTTTGTAGTCACCAGTTCTAATTAAAGACTCTTAGTCCAAAGCTCTACTTTTGGAATTTGAGCGAGGCTCTTCTAACTCATTCTTAATTTCGCTTATTCTTTATTAAACTCTGCTCTTAAAATTACTATTTTTATAATTTGAGTTAGATTTTCCATTAGATTAAATTACTTCTCTTTAATTATTTTATAGAATATTCTAAGTAGCTACAGGTGAATTTGCTTATTTAGAGGCAATATTAGAGTTACTATGATAAGTATGAGGCGTATTTAAGGATCCAGGTGAAAGTAATAAATTTTGATTGTTTAAATTTTAATACCTCAAAGATTAGTAGTCTAGATTTCCCAGGTTATCTGTGATTGACTATCTTTAGTCTATTGTTTTGTATTAATTAAATGCTAAGTCATTTTTCTCGTCATAGACTGCTTTTTGCAAATGATTATAGTTAGGCATAAGATCAGTTGAATCATCCTTTGATATTTTGAATAGTTCTTTAAGTTTTGAGCCAAGTAAAAGTCTATTTTTATCTTCTGATTTTTCAAAAGTATTATTGCTATTATAATTCAACTATGTTCTATATTAAATTTCTTGAAAAGCCATTGAATTCTTTAGAAAATCTTAATCCCCGAAAGATGGATTGTTATTGATGACATTCACTGTAGTTTATCTGTATTTATTGAAATTGAGGTCATTTGTTTAGTCTTTAGTCGACTTGAATTCTTGCATTTAAGAAATTTGAGATTTTTGAAGATAACTTTGCCCATATTCCTACTTTTCAATATTGTTTATAGATTTATAGTTTTAGATTACAGAATTAGAGGAAGCATTTATAACAGGTCTATTGTCATTGGATCTTAAACGCTATTAAGAATTACTGCCTCCTCCTCTTTTGATGTTAGATTAAAAATTCTCCCAAAGTTTGTCTGTATTATGCTCACTGATCTCATATGTCGTATTGACTGAGACAGGTGAGTGAGATAGTCTTCTCTTTCTACTTCCATCATCATTTGGGCTTTTTGAGGTTGCCCCAATAGAGTATCTCATTTCTGTTGGTGATTTGAATGAAGTTTCTGCTAGAGCTGTAAATCTATTCATTCTTCCCATCGGCTGTGTCTGCATATTGCTGGAATTTTCAAAATTTAAACGATTAGTAGTATTCATATTTGTAAAATTTAATTTATTAATAGTCGTTTACCTAATTTCAAATTCTTGATCAAACGGGGTTTTGGGGTTTTGGGGTTTTGGGG